TACATATGGAGTCATGTAACTAAAGTAATCCCTCCCTGGGATTATTAAAGTATTTCTGATTCCTGGTTGATGGGACAGGTGTTGTGAATGAAACGGTGCCCAGCTTGAAAGAGCTCCTGTGTTTCGCTGAATGTGTGCATTGATGACTGAAAGACATCTTCTGCCTCCATTTATCTGTTTACTACAGTCTGTGGAATTCATGTTAAAGTGGATTTAAAGACATTTCAATTAGTGAAAAAAATTGAAACAACCAAAACTTTCATGACCCCCATGCAGTACCTTTGTGGACCCCAAGGGGTCGCAGACCCCCTATTGAAGACCTCTGCCTTAAATAACCATTTTTAACAAATTAATATACCTTGATATACACAGGGGCGTCTCTAGAAATGTTTCAAAGGGGTGGCCAGATGGGAGCTCTTAAATCCTTGGGGTGGTCCACAGAAACATAACTTCAGGGTTTTATTCTACTGCTGTCTCAGCAGAGGAATCCTCACTTCTTGCGTTCACTCAATGTCTGTGATGCCTCATCAAGTTAAGGATATTATCATAGCTTGTATAAGAAATCGCATCTCAAATATCCCAAAAAATGTCCAGTTCAGCGGTCATTAATTTCATTATTTCGCCCACATGGTAATAACTTCACCTGCCGGTCCAGGAACAGGTGGAACACCTGCTTTCACTGAGTTCTGCCATGCTGCTGTCATCAAAGGTGCTGACTGTCCCTGGTGGCGCCCTTGGATATACACCAAAATAATGGGCTTAAGAGCCAACCTGACTTTCATTCTTTTTTTCATAATTTTCAACACCTATCCAGGAGTCTTTGAGATTTCTGTCGGCTCACATGAGAGCAATCTGTAGTTGGACTGGTGATGTATTTAAACAACATGAAGGCCCATTCTTTTATGCACATTCAAAGTCAGATATAAATCAAAGACCCAAACATTCTTCTCGTGGGTCATTGAGTCTGTTGTCTTGTAGGTTTTATGTTTGGCCATTTCAATTATGCTACTGTGGGTCTGCCTGCTCAGCCTTTTTGGAATGAGTTCTGGAACAAAACTGTAGATGCTTGGAATCTGAAATCCAATTTCTCACGCTTTGTGCAGTGATGGCTTTTCTCTTTTAACAAAGATGGCTTCCTTCACCCCTCTTTCAAACCTTCTATCCTCTATGTTCTAGATCTGAAAGTTTTGGTCTTCAAAGGTGTTTACTGTCATCTGGAGGTAGATGTGTTCATCTGAATCTTGCTTGGAGCTGTTGTCAGAGCATTGCTGCTTAGCTTTTATTGGGTTTCATAAAGACCCCTGCTTTCAGAGCTGGCCATCATTGCTGGTGGGACAAAGCAGAAAGCCTGAAACCTCTTGTTTTGCCTTGATTGTTATTATTTTTCTTTTCTTTGTTTTTTTTATTTCCTTTCACTGAGCAAAGACTATAAATAGTCCTCAATTTCTGCAGAAAGTAGCAGAACAAACACAGTCTTTCCATGTTTTAAACTTCTTCCTCAATAACAACAAGCTATATACAGGTAAAACACGTAAGGCTGTACCGTTTGTCATCTTCAGCTATAAAAATTCAAAGATTGCGATAAAACATGGCATTCTGCATTTAATGCACCTCCACTTGTTTATTTTTAGAAACTCATTCTAGGCTATAGGAACTTTTATTACTGGCCCATTCAATATTAAACATTGGCAGACTATGTATTTATGAAAGTAACACTTGATTTTTGCTAATAAATAGCCAAATTGGTTACAACATGTTTCCATTTCTAGATAACACCATTTCACCAGCGCCCCCTGGCAGAGGAAACATCTCGACGCCCTGCCCTGAGTTCACCTGTAAGGATGGATCCTGTTTGCCATTTGACAAGGTGGGTATCTAACAGGTGTTGTTCACCACAAGCAGATAAAACTTAACTTATTGCTTCATATTTGATGATCTGATAATGAAAAATCACGTCAGATTATATATTTATTGGGGGTTTAAGACAAACGTCTGTCCTAAAATACACACATTTATCAGTATTCCGTAAAAATTCAAAAAATCCACTGGACTTGGTTTTCAAGATTTGAAGACGTTTCGCCACCTCTCCAGGAAGCTTTCTCAATTCAAATGTCTTGATCCGCAGTGAGTTTGAGTCTTATATAGACAACGCCTTGTATCGCTTGGAAACATGCAATGGTAACCGATGAATGGGTCGT